AATACAATGAAATTTCTTACAGAATTAAAACGTTTTCAGCCAAACAATAGGTTAACAGTAGAAGATAAAAAAATTCATGAACAAAATATTTCTATAATCCATCGTCAACAAGTTCAATGGTCATTGGTCAGTGAAAATCATGCATGTGGGATCACTGTTGAATATCGCAGTCACGGAGCAAATGATCAGTATAAAACATCATTTCAAAAACAAAATGTTCCTATCCATAAAAATGTTCTTCATGGCCAATTTGAAAGTCAATGCAGTGGTCAATTACTAATTACTATTGATAATAAAAATGGTCCGACTTCTCAAATTGTTTGGTATCGAATTAAATCTATTGGCTTATCAACTTGTTATTTATTTCATGGTATATTCAATATGCAATTAGATAAATATTATCAAAAAACTTGTCAAAGTATTTCTGAAATTGATTTTAGTAAATTACTTGACCACGTATTTAATTTTATCAATAAACTTTTAAATGGTGATATCAGTTTACGAGATATGACAGAATTACAACCTATTTTCAAAGATAAAAATATTAATATTCAAGAAGAAGTAAAAAAGTTATATATAAATCGTTCAAATGAACAAAATAATAATCAAGCAAATATATCAACTACTGATCTGATGCACAAGTTCCAAGGATTCAGCCAAATGAAAAAGAAATTGAATAAGTTTGTGAATGGTTACAAATTTATCAATGCTATAGTCATCTTAATGGTATTATGGAATGTATTGAAAAATTCGATCTTTTACCATTAGATAATGAAGAAGCAAAAATTGGTCATTTAAAACGTTTGAGTGGTAATGTAAATTGTTCGTTAAGAGAAATAACTAATGCTTATCGAATTTTACAAGAATGTTTCCAAACTTTAACTCATCAACATTTACAATTAATTAAAAAACAGCAGTCGAATGTTCTAATGTTATTCAAATGATGAAAAAATCTGATCTTTACTTTCAGCATGGTCGACGTCGTTTTCAAGTACTACGAGATAATTTAACAGCACAATTTCAATTGCAAGAATTAAATAATATGATATTGAATTCATGGATTATATCTTATACATTAATTGAACCATTTATGTTTAAGACAAAGAATTTCGATGATTTTGTTCTTCGTCTTTGCTCAAATAACGAATTTAGAAGAAAGCTCATCGAATTATATCAAAGGTAAGTTTCAGTCATAAGTAGAGGTCTAAGTAGATGCTTTAATTGACGGCTAACATTTTTTGATGATCATTCCAAAAATTTCCTTACTTGCGAGAAAGTTTAGGATAGAAAATAGAAAAATGATAATAGAGAACGTCCCAGGAAAAGTCTTATAATTGTGGAATAGAGCTAGCTAGAAATTCTGGCCTTGTATAGCCCTTTCAGGCCTATAGCTCAACCAATGGATGAAATCCCTCTGAGACTTTATATTTAATATGGGCAGTGTGTATGTTGTGGACAGTTTCATCAAAACTGTAAAAAAATATCACTGAAGTCATTTTCGACCCATGCCCGTACCTCCTACGGGGATGGTGAAGAAGTAATTTGATCATCGCCGTAGGGGGTACGGGTGTGAGTGAAAATTCGATTGAGAGCATCGCAAAATCAACCTTTGGCATATCATTAGGAGTTATTCCTAACTTGATTTCAACGCGTAAAACCGAAATATTTTGGGTTTCGTAAATGGGTATTATCTGCCCTCTTTCTAGAGGCAGTGCTCCCAAAAACTACCAGGCGTACTAACTGATCTCATTCGAGCTATAATTCTCCTATAGATGTATTCAACGAAGTCTCTTCTATGTCAGAGAGGAGACCGCATCTTGATATCTTTTTGCGCTCACGATTTATTCAAAGATTACGAAACTTGAAAAAACCGTACAATATTTTGTACGGTGGATCTGAAAGAGATAGATCGAAAAACAAAAATATTGTCTATCGAGTAATCCGAGAGAAAATAGCTTCAGAATACCATTTTGGAAAATCTCTACTAAGAAATCATCTGATTGATCAACT